ATGTAATTCAGTGGTTTCTGTTGTAAAGTTGTATTGCTTGTGGTAGAAGACTGAAGGAAATTGGAGCTCACATTCTAATGAGAGACAGAATGAACATATGTAAATAATATGTGCAGAAAAAAGATTCTTTCCTTTTTGTTCTTCCTTTCTCATATTGGTAAGCAATAAAAATGAAATGCCAAAGGTCTAACTTGCTCAAACTGTCAAGAAACAGGAGCCCTGTGATAGCATCTGGGCCATAGCTGAGACTGAAGTACAATGGGGGTGGAGTGGGAAGCTGCAAACCTTTGCTGCCTTAGACCTGGTTTTGCATCTAGGAACCCCAAGGGGCACAGCAGAGGCCAGTCTCCTCACCTTTCTGCCCTTGTAAGATGGAGATTCCAAACCCTGTGTCAATTTACTGTTGGAAAAATAAGCCAATATATACACAGGGCCTAGCACAATTCTGGTCCACAGTAAGCTCTTGGTAGTAGATGCTACAAAGTGTACTTTTCTTTTCTGCCTGCTTGCACTGTAGTCACGATGTAAGTCATTGCTGCCCATTATCTGTAGCATAGTAAGTCTAACAGGAGAGTCTCATATACCAATGACATTTAAGCACATTGTAACATTGTAAATTCTCTGGAAAGAGCAGGCAAATAGAAGAGGAGTAATAATCAGATCCAAACAAGAAGAGAGGTAGCAGGAATAATTAATAGCTGATAGTAAAAGTAAAATTAACATTAAAGTGGAGGAAAGTATTCTTTTAGTGAGACACTGAAACTGGCAGGTTAAGGCTTGTGCATCTTTAGGGAGGAGAATTAAGATTTAGTAAATGAGTAGTTTGGTTATGAAAGACTTGATGACACACATTAAAAAAAAAAAAAAAAAGAGCATTAAGCATCACTTTGGGAAAAGCTACTGCCTGACAGCATTGCTGGTGCTTGTGGACTTGGCCTAGCTCACCTTCTGTTTGAAGAAACCACGTTCAGCAACTTGTTTGTGTGTGTGCCATGGAACTGAGGCTGGGAAACAGAAGGGAGAGAATGGAGATAAGGCATGCCTTTAAGGGTTAGGTTATGTTAACCTTTAGCATACGTGACAGGAAGATTCAAAACAGTTGGCTATAAGAGAACTTAGCAAAAAAGTATGGACCTACTGATATTCATTCTGCGGAAATCCCAAGGAAAAAGGAAATTTGAGTAGCAGACTTAACAGTTTAAGACAAAAAATTGTGATATCTTAAGCAGGTGGTACTTTTTGCATATATGCCTAAAAACCCTTGTGAAAAAAATTTCATCCGTTCTCTAGTACCACTTGATTGTTGTTAGCCCTCAGAACTTTAATTTATTAGCCCTTAGACACTAATTGCCTTTCTTTTTCCCTTTCTTTTTTGTCTTTTTTGAGACAGGGTCTCCCTGTAGCCCCAGCTGGCCTGGAACTCACTATGTAGACCAGGCTGGCCTAAATCTCACAGAGATCCTCCTGCCTCTGCCTCGTGTTGGGATTAAAGGCATGTGCCACCATGCCCCACTCTAATTTCTCTTTCAAGCATTAACGTTTTACTACGTATTGTAGTCACTATCTTCATCACACATACTACACTCTGGGAACAGTCATCATTGTGAGGCCCTGAGCAAATGATTTCCTCTCCAGGCACATTTTCCTCTTGGCTTCTTTTGAATTGATTCTAAGGCCTCTAATTGAATAGCTTTTTAAACCTACTGGATTCTCATTACTGTTTGTATGAACACTGTTCTTACTCTACCACTAGATGTCAGTAGTGTACTTCAAACCCTATCACTTCTGGGGCATAAAAGCCGTGGAAATTCAGTCTAACTCCCCATTTAATACATGGGGACTAAGATTCAGAGGTTAAGTGACATAGCCAAGGTCATGTAGGTGCTCAGAACCTTTTGAATCAGTCAGTCATCCATTTTCTCTCCTCTGTTGTACTCTATGTGGCTTTGTGAGGGAAATTCTAACATTATGTTCCCAGCCATTCTTGTTCTTTCTAAAATTATTTTAAAATTAAAAAATTACTCTTTAAATAAGTATATTACATTTAAAATAAACACTTGCTCTGCTTTTGTGTTTACGTAATGGCTGCACACACTGGATCTCAGCTTCGATAGAACTGTGGAAGACAATGGCTTCCTGACTTGTCCATAGAAATCCCAGCCAGAGCCTCTCTGTCTAGTGGCCATTTCTTTCCATTCTTGGCTAGACTTTTTGGTAAAATGTTTCCTTTTAGCGCCTCCCTCTAACTGAACATGAATGTTAGTTCCTTATGTCCCCCTGTACTGCTGCTCTGTCCATCTGCATAGCCAAGTCAGGTCATCCTTTGGGAGAAAAGAAGACAGTAGCAACAAACCAGATCCCTTGGGTATTCCCAGCACACATTATCTGCACTATTTGTGTTCTTTTCTGTCTTTATTGGTGACAAGGGTAATGTTATCATAAATCATGGCTCATTTGTGGGCAGGATGGTATAATGGGAAAGAAGTGGAAAAGATGTAGGCTTTGGAGTCACACTGACGGGGTTGAATGTCTCCTTAATGAGGGTGGTATTTACTTCCTTATGACTGTGTCTGAGGAGTACATGAGGTAATATATGAAAAGCTCTTAGTGTCAGTACCTGGCACACTTGGTAGATGCCCATTATTTTGGTGACTATAAAGAGGAAACAGGAGTGATTATAGTATATGAAAGCTTGGATTGAAATGTGGCTAGTCAAAGTTGATACAGGCTTCTCTTACCAAAAATTTTGGGGAGTCAGGTCAGAATATTGGCAAGGCTCAGGCATTTTGAGACCCTTCAGGGCATTTCACACTATTCCAAATTTAGTCCCAGAATGAGATGAGATACCCTTCATTACAGGTTAGCTTACATAAGTCAACATATCTGACATGGCATCCAATAAAGGACACACATATTGTATCACTTTGTATAGAAAAAACTGCTACTGAAAAAAACACTTGATGAAGCCAGCTCAGTTAAGCTCATGCCTATAGTCCTAGCACTTGAGAAACTGAAGCAGGAGGACTGATGAGAGTTTGAGACCAGCCTGGGCTACAATGGGACCTGTGTAATAAGCCCAAACCAAATCAAACCTACCAAACAAAAGTGCTTGCAAAATAGGTTTTTATTTCAGAGACATTAAATGGTGAACAAGAGTGTGCCTTAGAATTGATGGACTACAACATGAGGGCTTTGAAATATTCAACCTTTGTGGGAGAAGGGGACTTGTTTTACATATTCTCATGTAAGTTAGCATTGGATGTGGGTCCCCTTAGATTGTATTGTGTTCAGGGAACATGCATTGAATAGCTCTTTATTTTTATTTTTATTTTTTGAACTTTTTAAGACAGGGTCTCCCTGTAGCCCCACCTGTCCTGGAACTCACTACATAGACCAGGCTGGCCTTGAACTCACAGAAATCTGCCTGCCCCTGCCTCCTGAGTGCGCCACCACGCCTGGCTGAATTGAAGGCGTGTGCCACCACGCCCGGCTGAATAGCTTTTATCCATTTTATTAATAGCCAGGTGAGGGACTGTGGAGATGGCTCTGTGGTTAAGAGCACTGATTGCTCTTGTAGAGGACCAGGTTTGATTCCTACCACCTACATGGTGGCTAGCAACTGTCTGTAACTCTAGTTCTAGAGGATCTAATGCCCTCTTCTGACCTCCAAGGGCATTGTACAACACAGGTGTTCTTTCATACATGCAGGCAGTATACTCATAGACTAAAAATAATAAAGTATCAAAAAAAAAAATAACCAGGTGAAAGCAAAGTAGAGCTCTTTTTAAGTTGCTGGAAGTCCCATAATTCAGAAAAGTGAACTAGGTATAGCCAAGTCCCTTCCGCCCTTCCTCCCACCAGATGCACACCACTCTCTTTTCAGGCTTTACCTACCCCTCCACCAAAATCTGCTCTGCATAAAGGCCCTTGGTGGCAGTTATTTATAGCCACTTGTGAATTCATGGTGAAGTGTTAAATTGCCCAAGGATGTTTGCTTTGGAAGCCTTATCTCTAATTATCAGCTAAAAATCTTTATCTGCTTAGAGAACTTTCAGGCCTCTGTTAGCCATATGGAACAAGTTTTGTGGGGATGGCTGAGGGAGGAGGGATGTGGAGACTACTCCTCCTCTGCTGGTGAGGAAGGGGGTGGAATGTGTGTGTGTGTGTAGTTCGTCATTTCCTTTCCCACTCCTGTCCCTGCCTTTGTGCTCACAGTCTATAAGAAAGTAGACTTCCATTTACTGCCGGCTTTGTCTGAAAGGAAAACAAACTTAACTCATACCTATGTTTCTGACTAATGTCATCAGATTTTTATCAGTTTTAACTCCCTTTTGTAAGGTCTATTGAATTTTCAGGAAACCATGTGTTGTAAAGAATTCTTTTATAATTTACCTGTTTTGTAAATCTCAGCCAGATTCTGACCCTATGTTTTCCAAGTTATTTGTAGACATGCCTACATAGACACATGGGGTGGGGAGGGGCAGGGATGTTGGCTCTTGATTAAACTGCAGAAGTTACCTACATTTTATGGAGAATGAAAGCTCAGATGTCTTTTTAAGTTTGTGATACATTCATCAGTTGTGAATCTGCTGATACTCTGTATACTTTTTTCACATAATAGATGCTGAGTACAAATGTTTGATTAACCCCAGGTTTAGAATACCAGACTCTAATATAAGGCTTGTAAACAAAGCTGCCCATTACAGTTAAGGAATTTGGTTAATACCAACTATAGACTTTCTCAGCAAAATATATACAGTGATATTGCATATGTTCTCAGTGTTACAGTAGCTTTGAAAGCATGGAAAATTTGATCTCCAGTGCTTAATTTCCTACATTTAAACTAAATGCAAGGTAAATATTTGTTATATGGTTATGAATTCTTTATAGAAGTGTGTTTGTCAATGATATCTTAAGTAATGTTGAGATCTTAAGAATGTTGATCATGACATCTAAATGTGTGTATGTGTTTGAATGACTCTGACTTTTGGTCTTTGCAGCTTGGGGTCTGGTTTTCTCTAGGTTGTGCCTACTTGGCTTTGGAAGACTATGGAGGCTCAGCAAGGGCATTTCAGCGCTGTGTGACTCTAGAACCTGACGTAAGTTTGTTCGGCCTCTTCCTTTTTTCATGTTCTTAGTGTTCTTTTATGTTATCTGCTGAATTGTACTGTGTAAACTGTAATAGCCATTCCTTTTGTGTTAGAAGGAAGTGTACATTTGATGGAAGGTTACACTCAAGGTATATGGTTTTTAAACCTGGAAATGTATTTTTTTTTGTCTCATAATAGCTAAGGCTTCATTTAGAAAATAATTTTAGTAAGGTAGCTTTCAGTTAAAACTGTGTATCACTGGCTGATACAGCAAGGTGTCCAGTGTCTTTTATCATTTACTAACATGCGGCCCATGCTAATCATTAGAAGGTTCTTTTAGTGTAATTTTTTTTCTGTTTAACAGCTTTGTGGAGTTGATAGTTCACATACTGTGTACCTGTTTAAAATGCAGATTGAGTGATTTATTTTCCCCAGTGTATTCACAGTTGTAGTTAGAACAATTTTAGAGCATTTTTGTCATCCTAAAAAGAAACCCTGGTACCCACCAGCAGTCACTCCCCCTTTCTTCTCTAGGTGCCTTCTTTCCTTTGCCAGCACTGGTCAGTCTTTGTAGATGTGTCTACTCTGGATGTTTCAGATCAATGGACAAAATGACTGGCTTCTTTCTCTTAGATGAATATTTTTACGGCCCATCCATGTTGCAACCTGTATTAGTAATCCACTTTGTTTTTAAATTTAAAAAAAAGTTTTGTTTAGTATTTATTTATTTATTTAGGATTTTTGAGACAGGATTTTCCTCTAGCACCAGATGGCCTGAAACTCACTATGTAGACCAGGAGTCAATTCTCTGCTTCCACCATGGGGGTCCCAGGGATCAGACTGAGGTTTGCATAGGAAGGGCTTTTGCCTGTTGAGCCATTTCTCTGGCCCCAAAGCTGAACATTTTTCTGGTTGGTTTGGATTTTTGGAGACCGGGTCTTGCTATACTGTCTGTGCTAGACTGCATCTCACAATGCAGCTCAAGTTGACTGGCCTTGAACTGGTGATCCTGCTGAATGCTGGGATTTCAGGCCTGCCCTGTCATGCTCAGTGATGCTCTCTAAAGAATCTATTCATCTTTTTTCTTTTGTTGCCAACCCATTGACAATTCCTAATTGACTCCCTGGTCCCCTGCTCCAGGGTGGTGAAGATTCCATTCCATTTTATTTTCTTTGACTACTGGAGACTGAACTTGGAGTTGTGTGCATACTAGATGGCTGCTCTACAGCTGAGCTACATCCCCAGCCCTATTCCCTCCTTTTTTCCCTAATAGTTTATAGTTTCAGCCCTATAGACCATTGTAAGTTAATTTTTTTGTGCATGGTGTAAGAAAGAGGTCCAGTTTCATTCTACATGTCGATCTCCAGTATTGCCAGAATCACTTGTTTAACAGGCTATTTTCTCCCATGGTATGGTCTTGTCACTCTAGTCAAAAATCAGTTGACCATAAATGTAAGAATTTAATTACAGGTTGTCAGTTATATTTCCTGAGCTGTTTGTCTCTGTTGTGCTAGTACCTTGGTTGTATAGTGAGGCCTTCAAGTGAGCCTTGGAAATGTTGAGTGTGAATCCTCAAACTTCATTCTTTTTTTAGGATTATTTTGACTACTTGGGATTCCTCAAATTTCTGCAAAAAAAGTATCTAAGATGTTGCTAGAACTTACATTTAATCTGAAGAGCAGTATTGCTTCTTTAATATATTTAAAAAAATATTTTATTATTTTTATTTTATGTTTATGAGTGAGTGTATTGCCTGCATGTATGTGAGTGCATCTGTGTAGTGCAATGCCATGGAGGTCAGAAGAGGGCTTTGATTCCCCTGGAACTCAAGGATGGCTCGAAGCCTCCACGTGGGTTCTGGGAATTGAACCCAGGTCCTCTGCAAGAGCAGTCAGTGCTCTTAACTACTGAGCCAT